CATAAGAAGCATTCTTACCAGTCCAAACTCTGTCAGGGACATCACCATCTAAAGCAACAACAGGAGATAAATTGATAACATAAGCAGCAGTATTAAGTGCTTCTGCCCAAAAAGAATCTGACAGCTTAGCATCTGAAAGCATACATCTAACCCTCTCAACTAGAGTTTTGTTCATCCTCTCTGCTAAACCATTTAATTGAGGAGTCTTTGGAGAAGTTTTCTGATGCCTAATACCTGCTCTCTGCAATATCTATCAAAAGGACCAATATACTCACCACCATTATCTGAGCGGATGCATTTCAATGTCTTCCCTGTTTGTCTTTTCACCAAGGCCTGAAAACTCTTGAACACATCAAGTACTTGATCCTTGGACTTCAAAGGAAATACCCAGAGTTTGCGAGAATGATCATCAATAAAAGTCGCAAAGTAAAGTGCACCACCATGAGATCTTACCTTAAAAGGACCACACAAATCAGAATGTACCAACTCCAGCAGATCAAGCTTTCTTGAAGGCGGATGACTCTAAAAAGAAACTCTTTTCTGTTTACCGGCTAAGCAATGAACACATTTCTTCAACTTTGCTTGTTTCACTCCAGAAAGCAAATTTTTCTTAGCCAAACTATCAATCCCCTTCTCGCTCATATGACTTAATCTTCTATGCCATAACTCTGATGAAGTATCATTCTCCACCAAATTTACTGAGTCTCTGGAGATGGAGCCCTGAAATACATACAAGTTAGACAACTTGTCACCACGGGCCACAACCATCAAACCTCTAGTAAGCTTCCACTGGCCAATACCAAGTGTATTAACATAACCCTCATCATCAAGATATCCCATAGAAATCAAATTCAAGCGAACATCTGGAGCATGCTTGACATTATTGAGAACTAGTTTGGAACCATTGTTACTTTCCAAACAAACTGTCCCAATACCAATAACTTCAACTTCATGATTATTGCCCACTTTCAACGTTCCAAAATTACCTGGAGTATAAGAAGAAAATAATTCCTTCTTTGGCGTGACATGAGAAGTAGCACCAAAATTCACAAACCAGCTAGACTCATCACGAACAAGATTAATGACATTTGCACCACAAGAAACAAGAAGATTATCATTAGCAAAAACAGCAACA